GAAAAGCACATTGGGCCTAAACAGACCAGTCAACATGGTGGGTACTTCAACCAAAGTGTCGTTGCTGGGGCTGGAGGTGTAGCTTGGTAGTGTGCTTGTCTTAAGTTGTAGGTCCTAGGGTTTAATTCCCCAGCACTGGAGTGTGTGTCTGTTTGTCTGTCTGTGGTTATTTAATCCCAGAAGAAAACAAAACTTACCTACTCATTGTCCACATTACCCAGGACTCTTAAATTGGCTCTGTCCAGATCACGTAGTGTCCAGGCTAAGGATAAAGGCAGAGCTGTAAACTGACGTGGGAACTGGGTGGGTTCAAGTGAGCACCACTCATGTATTCTGCCACGTTCTGAGGACCCACCTGTATGCCAGGCGCTAGAAACACAGTACAACCAAGCATGGTGCTTCCACCTCCTGGGGAGGATGGACAGACAGAAACAAAACAGAACGTAGTACATCAAGTGGTGATTAAGAATTATGGGAAAACAACTGCGAAAGAGAAAGGGTTGTTTAAGGGAGTTAGGGGTTGGAATGTTACACAGAATGGGTAAGGAAGGCCTGGAAGGTGAGCAAAGACTGGAAGCTAGAGAATGGGGCACATGAACCTAGAAACGGGGTGAACAAAATGCAAGAGGGAGGGGTATCACTGACCGAAATAGCTAGGAGACTAGAAGCCGCAGAATGTGTTAGGGGCCTGGAAGCATAGCTTTGCGTACCATAGGAGACTAAGAATTTTCTCTTCTGTTCCCAGTGAAATAGGAACCACGGGACATTTGAGCAGGAGAATGACATGTCCTTGAAAGCCACACCTGGACACGGCTTGCACTCCACCCTGCCTCTGGGTTAGGAAAGGCAACCTATAAAAATGACCTCTGATGACCACTAGGTGTTTGCTAGACAGTGCGAAAGCCACGAAAGCCTCCTTCAAGCAGAGGGAACAATCCAGAGCTTTCCTACAACTAGGTAGGACTAGAAAAGACCGGAAGGATCTGCAGTGGTTGGAGAATAAACCGGGAGTCCAGTGGGCAGGTTAGGGAACAAGCAGCGCAAGTGTAGAGCCGCACCTGGCGCGCAGAGCGCCGGGTAGGACTACAACTACCACAGTGCTCAGCGGCACGACGTCTACCGCCCGGCCTGACCGCAGCCAGCCAGCCGCTGTGCGCGGAGGTCACGTGGAGCCGGCGCGTCACATGCGTCGGTCAGGTGGAGCTGCGGGGCGGACCAACAGACTGTGGGGCGGACGGTGGTAGCGGTGTTCTCTTAGGTCCCACCGATCCGACCCCCGCCGTCACTGCTGCCATGACGGGGCTGGCGCTGCTCTACACCGGGATCTTTGTGGCCTTCTGGGCCTGCGTGATCGTCGTGGGTGAGTGGGGCCCGGGCTGGCTGAGCTGACCGGCTGGGGCAGGGGCAGGTGGCAGCCGGAGCCGGCCCAGCGGTGCCGGACCGCAACGTAGGGAGCCGACCCTGGGCTGCGAGAGCCACACCGGCCCTTCCAGGGTCGCGACCGCCGCCCCCCTCTCGTCTCCGAACGCAGACTTGGGCGCCCTGCTTCCTCTTTTCGCTCCCTGCCTTCCCCCTTCACAGCTTGTTGGGTAAACAACGACTGGGCCGGCGGGATCTGGCGCGGCCTGGATGCCGCACTTGACTGAGGAGGGACTTGGTGTCATTGAGACGGGTTACCTAAGGAGTGGCAGGAAAAAAAAAAAATGGAGGCCTGGGCGGAGGTTCTGTTTCGCTCCGGGACTCTTGTCTTCTTAGATGTGTCGGGCAGTTGGGCTGGGGAATGTGTCTCAAAAGAGCAACCCTTAACTCCTTTTCTCATTGCTGCAGGAATCTGCTACACCATTTTTGACCTGGGCTTCCGCTTTGATGTGGCATGGTAAGGGCATGGCGGGGATTCTCCTAGGAGCCCCTTCTTTCTGTAGTCTGAGCCCTAGTTCAACTCTTCGGACACAAGGACGTATGGGAAATACCAGGACTGGGGGGCTGGGGCTGGGTGGGAGCTGAGTTTCGTGTACTCTCCCCCAGCCCTGCCCTTTCCTGACCACAGTCGACTGGCTTTCTTCCCTATTACCACACCAGGTTCCTGACAGAAACTTCTCCCTTCATGTGGTCGAATCTGGGCATTGGCTTAGCAATTTCGCTGTCTGTGGTTGGAGCAGCCTGGTAAGTGTCAGGGCAGTGGGGTTAGTGGGAAGTTCTGAGTTGTGGCGGGTGGTGTCATTGGGTCTTAATCATGCAGGGGACAGTGTGACTATTTGAGCACCTTTAATCAGTGTGTCCTTCCACCAGGGGCATCTATATTACCGGCTCTTCCATCATTGGGGGTGGGGTGAAGGCCCCCAGAATCAAGACCAAGAACTTGGTTAGGTGAGTAGAAGAGGCTTTGGTTGTCAAAGCCAGCCTGCTGCGATGGAGGTCTGCTGACATACTGGCTTGTGACCAGCCTCATCGTGAGTCAAGGAGAGCTGTCTGGGGATTTTCTGACAAATGGCTGATTTCCTTCTCCTCTCTTTTCTCCACCCCTCCCCCAACCTTTACCATTACTATTGCCAGCATTATCTTCTGTGAAGCTGTGGCCATCTATGGCATCATCATGGCGATTGTCATTAGCAACATGGCTGAGGTAAGGGAAAACCCAGTGGTTTATGCTTTGCCTAAAGATTGGAGGAGAAGGTAGGTGCATTAAGGGATGGCTTCTGATGACCTGTCCTCCTCAGCCTTTCAGTGCTACTGATCCCAAGGCCATTGGCCATCGAAACTACCATGCAGGTGAGTGGGTAGCCCAAAGTTCCGTCTTGCCAGGCATGGTGGTACGGGCCTTTAAGTGGCGGGCATTGAGCTAAGAAGCCAGCCAGCACTACAGAACTAGCTAGAGTGGACATCCCCGCACCCCCACCTACATGCATACACACAGATGTAGGTGTCTGGGCTCTACACACTTGCTCCTAGCTCCGACTTCCCAGCTTCAGACTCCTTTTTATATTCTCAGCTGCTTGAGCCTGCTTTACAGAGTTGGGGAGGGATTGGCCCCGTTAGCCCATTTCGGATCCTTCATCATCTCCTGTGCTTATCTTGGCCTCACTTGAGCTGTTTTTTATCCTCTAGGCTACTCCATGTTTGGGGCCGGCCTCACAGTTGGTCTATCCAACCTCTTTTGTGGAGTCTGCGTGGGCATCGTGGGCAGTGGGGCTGCCCTAGCTGATGCACAGAACCCCAGCCTCTTTGTAAAGATTCTCATCGTGGAGATCTTTGGCAGTGCCATTGGCCTCTTTGGAGTCATCGTTGCAATCCTTCAGGTGCTGAATCCCCCCTAGGGAACTGTGGCCTCTTTGTCCTTGTCCTCAGCGTAGCCTTACTCTGCTTTGAGAAGAATAGACTCCTCCCTTCTCCACTCATAACTGTGAGACCCTTCTCCATCTCTTGGTTCCCCTTTGTCTGTTGCTGTATATGCATATATCTCCTTTAGTCCCTGTTTGCACCCATTTCCTCTGCTGCCTCTGGGAATGTCCTCTTTGTGATACAGCCTGTGAGGGACGTCCGTGACAGTCTTGACACGCTTCCCTCTCAGGGTCTGTGTGTGTATGTACGTCATGCTGTCAGTAGACTTGCACGTCTAGATTCTGTATTTTGTCAGTGTGTGGGTTTGTGGTGAAAAGACCAGCCTGAAGGTCTAAACATGACTTTGGCTGCTTGGCTAGGTTGACTCCTGGGGACACTGGCCCTGTCCATGCTTCTCCTCTTTGTTGTATTGCTGATCTCCTTTGTCTGCCTATCAGTGTGTCTGTCTTGTATGGTCATCCATCTGTGGCCTGTCTGTCCACTCACTGGCCTGCTGGTTGTGATCTTGTCACTGTCCCTGCCTGATTTGTCCCTGTTCTTCTTTTGCAGACCTCCAGAGTGAAGATGGGTGACTAGATGATCTGTGTGGGTGGGGCCGTGCCCCACTGTTATTTATTGCTGGTTTTCCTGGGACAGCTGGAGCTGTGTCCCTTAGCCTTTCCTGGGCTTGGTGTTCAGGGCCCTCCTGCACTCACCTCTTGCTGCCTGTTGACTTTGGAGGCATTGCAGTCCAGACTGAACCTCAGTGTGGGGAGTGGGCTGCTGGTGGTGACTGTGTACAGCTGTGCACCTGTGTCCCCTACCCCCCATCCAGTCCATCTTCCTAGTGTTTGTGAAATAAACTTGGTATTTGTCCCGGTCATTGAGGCGTCTGTTGGCCCTTTGCGACACCTTTCACAGAGGAAGGGTAGGGCCTGTACACTCACGGCAACCTCTTCTCTTTCTATCGGCACCATCTCTGCTATGGAAGGTGCTGGCTCCTGGGTGGCAAGGGCAGGGTGCTAGACTGCCTATAGCAGGGAGCCTCTTCCTTAAAGTCTGGGTTCTAGGATCTTCCTAGCCCTAGGCCCTTGGAGCCGTATGCACTAGATGCAAGCTGACTATAGCCAATTAGCTCTCTCAGTTTCCCTACTCCTGAGACAGCCGACACCTTCTCTTCCTGGCTTTTGATAGTTGTGTATGAACACCTAAATCTTCAAGAACCTCTTCAGTGGTCTCAATTCCTGGGGCCCTGTTCAACTCCGCCCATACCTATCCTATCAAATTCTGGATTGTTTCCCTAATCTTAGTTATCCTGCTCTTACCCAGAAGTCATTTTTAGTTAACACCTTTAAGGGTCTTACCCAGCAGGCAGCCCTGGTTGGCTGACCTTGAATACTGCTTCCGCGAAAGAGTTGGAAAGGCCCTGACCCCAGGAGGCTCACTAGCCAGACCCCCGTCTCAACGACCTGAAGGGCCTAGCTAGCCGGCTTCTGCCTCTTTCCATCGCTAAGGCAAGCTGGTGGAGGAACCTGATGGATTCCCGCGCCTCTCCTGGGTCTCGGGCATCCGCAAGAGCGTCTCCCCTATGGCAGGGCCGCGCAGGGCCAACGGCAGGGGCGGGCGGTGGAGCGGCGCGCGGCGCGTGCGGGCGCGCTGGAGGCGGGGGCCGCGGGGGCGCGCGCGCGGGCGCGCCAGCCTGGCCTGCCCCTCCGAGGAGCCGTAGCGCGGGAGGCAGGCGGCAGCGCAGTGGTCCGTCGGTCCGCCGGTCCGTGGGTCTGCCCGGCCCCGCCCTGCCTCCCGGGGCGGCTCGGCTCCATGGCCCGCGGCGGCGGCGGGAGGTGGCCCGGGGGCCGCGGAGACCGCTGACCGGGCGGTGGGGCCGGGCCATGGGGGACGGAGCCGTCCGCAGCTGCCGGAGCCGGTATCCCTACCCGAGCTGGAGCGGCGCCCCCTGCTGAGCCCCGAGCGCTGGGTGAGAGGAGGAGGGTGCGCGCGGCCCCCAGCCCAGGGCCCCGACATTCCAGCCCCAGCCCCACTAGGGAGACACCCGCGCGCCGCCCCAGATCCCAGCCCAGGACCCGGTGAGCGAGGCGCCGGCGCTGCCCCTGGCCTGGCTGCACCCCACCCTACCCCCATCCCGCTAGCCGCCTGGGCTCCTGCGTCCGCCCCCAGCCGGCCTCCCTCATTGTCCTCGCTCGCCCCGGCCTTGTGTCTGGCGGAGGCGCTCGGCCTCCGGCCCCACATCCACATCTCCCACTGAATGCACCCCTCCCCAGGGCTCCACACCCACCTGTCCTCTGCTGCCTCCCCCGTCCCGGGGTGCCACGTGTTCAGCCTCCCAGCCCCGCCCAGACGCACCCCTCAGACTGGTGGTTAGCCCGACCCAGAGCCCCTGCCCTGGAGGGAGAGGTGGGAATACTTGCACGTGGGTCTGGGTGTATGGTGTATGGCTAAGCTTGTCTAGGAGCCGCGGTTTGTTGATGTATGTGGCTTGTATGTTACTGTCACCCCAAGTGTATCTAGCTCTCTATGTGGGTCTCTGTGTGTCCCTTAGAGTGTGGGTGCCTACTGCTGATACTAAAGGTGTATGTAACTTTGTGTTTGAGATATCCTGCTCTCAGGAGCGGTGCCCAGAAGTGTTTGTTGACCTTTTGAAACTACAACAGAGTTCTGACCCAAGCAAGACAGACGCCCCACCACCACCACCACCTCCACCCCTGTCCACCTCTGCCATCCTAGGAACTTTGCTCCTCCAGGGCCAAGCGTAGTCCATTTCAGGAATCAGAACTAGCTTCGCTGCTCAGGCTCCAGAGCCAGCCTGAGATTTAGGTGAGGGCTATCTGTGGCTAGCCCTGCATGGTACCTTCACCCTCCTTCACCCTTGTTCCAGTGGGAAGGATCCTGTTAAATATCCTCTCCATCTGGGGTCCCCTGGATGCTGAAGGCCCTTCTCAGCCTGGTCCTGGTTGGTCAGGCCTGCTTGCTGTTGGCCCCTGAATGCCTCAACATGCCATGGGTCTGAATAATTTTCCCCATCAGGACCCTTGGGAGGACTAAGTGAAGTAGGAACATTCCTACATGATAGGCATTCAGGAAATGATCCGTTCCCTAAGCGGTGTATCCTGGGTTGAAGAGTCGATCTCTAGTCTCTGGGGCGCAGGTGGAGCCGCAGTGCTGAGATTCAATCCCGGGTGATAAAGCTCACCTGTGCCTGCTGCTGTGCGTGCGAGTGTGTAGAGGTGTACAGCGAGGGTTGAAGCGTATGTCTGGGTGACTTAGTGCTGGGGTGTACCTAGGATGGCAGAAAATGAGTTGCCAGTGGCTGCCGGTGTGTTCGCAGGTAGAATACAAACAAGTCCATGAGTTTCAAGGTGTTTACGAAAGGTAAGTGAGGATAGGGGTCTGTGAATGAGCTGCCAAATAGGAAGCAGGTGGGTAGCATTACCTGTCCTGCCCTGACCTGTGGGATCTGTTTCTCTCCCCCCTGTTCAGGCTGGCAGCCAGATGCTTGGGCCCACTGGGCAGGCCATTGGCCACCTGCGGGATGAGCAGACTGCTGGGGGGGACGCTGGAGCGGGTCTGCAAGGCTGTGCTCCTTCTCTGCCTGCTGCACTTCCTTGTGGCTGTCATCCTCTACTTTGACGTCTACGCCCAGCACCTGGCCTTTTTCAGCCGCTTCAGTACCCGAAGCCCAGCCCATGCCCTCTACCCTGCAGCCAGCAGCAGCACCAACTGCTCTCGGCCCAATGCCACTGCCGCTAGTTCTGGGCTTCCTGAAGTGCCCAGTGCCCGACCTGGTCCCACAGCTCCTGTCATTCCACCCTGTCCTGACGTGCCACCTGGTCTTGGTGAGCCTGTAGAGTAGGGCCTACCTGTTGTAGGGGTGGGAAGAGGACCCTACCAATGTGCCTAGGGAGCTGGAGCGCTGAACCGTGGGGGCACCGAGGCTCCAGATCTATTGATGGAGGGCTATTCCAGGGGCTCTGTTGCCCACTCCCAGGTGGCTAGTGTCCCTGGATTCTGGCAAAGGCCCTGACTCTTGACACTGTCCTGCCTGCAGTGGGCCGAGTGGTCATCGAGTTCACCTCACCCATGCCTCTGGAGCGGGTGCAGAGGGAGAACCCAGGCGTGCTCCTGGGAGGCCGCTATACACCACCTGACTGCACCCCAGCCCAAACGGTGGCAGTCATCATCCCCTTTAGACACCGGGAGCACCACCTACGCTATTGGCTCCACTATCTGCACCCCATGTTGAGGCGGCAGCGGCTCCGCTACGGTATCTATGTCATCAACCAGGTGCGTGCACTGTGGTCCTTGGCTGAGCACTAGCCTTCAGGAAACTCTCATGCGTCTGTGGATGTGCCTGCTCAGGCATCCGGGGGGGCCATGTGCCTGTTGGTGCACACACGAGGCTGGAGAAGGCTGGGTCCTTGCCTGTTGATGGTTGTGTGAGTCTACATGGATTTGGGGGTACATGTCTGTCAGTAAATGTAGGAAGTTTGTGTGGAAGGGGATGTGAACCTATAAATGCTGGCATGTACTCTTGTGGTGTGTACATAGCTTGTTTGGACATCTCTTTGGGATGTCACTGTAAAGTAGAGAGAAAAAGATGTCAAAACCAAAGTGGCAGAGGCCTCATGTGCACCAATTAGAAGGCAATGCCAAGAGCCTTGAAGAGAGGGAGAGTTGGGACCCTGAAAAACACATGAAGTCCGAAACCTTAAGTATAGCATCTAGGCTCTGGCTAGTAGTGGCATTGAGTCTCAGAGAGGACCTGATAAAGAGGAAAATATATGGTTGGAATTGAAGTGAGGCTGGTGGGAACACAGAGAAGCCTGGTTCAGCCATGCAGTTGTCAGAGATGAACAAGTAATAGCCGGAGAAGGTGAACCTTCTAGGAAGAAGGGCCTGACAGCCCAGGGCTTAGCAAGAGGACTCATCTCTTGTGTTTAGGAACTAGTGGATGAGGGTTGGAGTCTAACATACAGGCTGGGTAGCAAAGGTTAGCTAGAGGGCTAGTTTGGGGGGGGCACATCAAGAACTTGAGAGGTATGTTTGGCAGTGACCTCTAGCCTGAACGTTTGAAGTGGGGGTAACCTGTGTATGTTGCTGTGATTACGTATGAAGAACGGAGGGAGGAGAGGCCTAGAAACAGTGTGACCAATTAGGAAGTGATTACAGTCACCAGAAAAAGATGGTGGAAGTGCTTATGGGCGGGGCAGTCTATGGGGTGAAAGGGAGATGTCACTGTAAAACAGTAGAGAGAAAGAGATGTCAAAACAAGGAAACAAGGCAAGGGATTTAGGCTTTACTATGTTCATGGCCACACCTGTGAGTGGGATGGGAGAACATCCCATGGGAACTAGGCCGTATCTGGAGGAGAGTGACTAGGGATGCTGCCTTGCCTGGAGTGTTGAGAGCCTGCGGGGAGGAAGAGGAGGGACATCCTGCTGACAGTCAGAGTATGTGTCTGTACCTAGGAAGGGGGTCTGTGAGGGATATGGAAACACTAGAAGGTAGACTTTTGTTTTGTTTTTCAAGGCAGTGTTTCACTTCTGTATCCCTGGCTGTCCTCTAACTCAACTCCTGTGGACCAGGCTCTGCCTCCTGAATCCTGGGATTAAAGGCATCAGCTACCACTGCCCAGCTCTTTGCTTTGCTTTTGTTTTTTTAACACAGGGTTTCTCTGTGTGACAGGCTGGCCTCAAACTCACTGAAATCTGCCTGTCTCTGCCTCCTGAGTGCTGGGATTAAAGGCATGTACCCGGCTCATTTTTTTTAAATTGCATAATATTTTTGTGTATATAATCAAGCTATGGCTTATAGATTTGGGGCTTAAGGTTTTGTAGATCAAATTCAGTTGTCAGGTGTGTGCAGCAAATGCCTTACTAATTGAACTACCACTAGCCCACAATGTAGAGATGGTTTAGTTTTAATGTGTATGTGTGTGCGTGTGCGTGCATATGTAGCCAAAGAACACTTGTGGAGTCAGAGGATAACTTTGTGAAGGTACTGGGGATCAAACCCAGGTCACCAGACTTATTCAGGAATTACTGTATCTACTGAGCCATCTCACCAGCTAGAAGGTTCTTAAAACCCACCTCTGCCATGCTTACAGAGCGTGGAATGTTAGGGGGTGGGGTGGGTAGGGCATCATCAAGGGTTAGATGGGGAAAGGGGGGAAAGGAAGGCAGCTACGGAGGCCCAGAAGACGGACCAGAGATTGTCAGGAGACCCTGGAGAGTGGATGTCCTGGAAGCCCAGCAGTCAGTGTCAGGAAGGAAGCATGGCAGCTGTGTGATAGTGCGGGGGAGGGAGAGGGATGTGGACCAAGTGCGTCCGTCCAGTGGATTTAGCAACAAGGTGGGCCCAGTGAGAGCCATTTCAGGGGCATGGTGGGGGCGGAAGCAGATTGCAGTGGGCTGAAGGAGGAATCAGATTTGACAAAATAACTAATTGGAGACAACGCTTAAAAACATCTCTGCTGAGAAGAGAAGGCAAAGGGTAGGGTGATGGCGGGCGGGAAGTGTTTTCCTCCCTAGAGAGAGAACTGAGCGTGTTTATGAGCCGTGTGGGGAAGACCGAGGGCTCCTAGCTGGTGAGAGAGGCTGGAAGAACACTGATAAGCTAGGAGAAAAGTGTCCTACTAGGACTGGGAGAGGAGATGTGGAAAGGACAGGAAGGCGGTGAGCAGGTGGCCTGGTCTTCAAGGAGTGGCTCCTGCCTAGCAGGTTTGTCCAGGGCCAGGAGAAGTCACTGTTTCTTCTTTCCTACTGAGGCACCCACTCACAGATGCCAGCTCCAGAGGCTTCTGTCATAAGCATGGGTTGTAGCAGAGGCCGAGGGGCCAATTCTTGTCAAATCCACCCCTCTCCTGTCCAGAGTCGCCTGGGCCTGTATGGCCAGGGACCCAGCAGTCCTATAGATATATCCTTGGGTCCCCCGCTCACAGAGGTGTGACTGCCTGTAGCACTTTGCTTGTCTTTTCCTCTTGGGAACACAAGATCATCCAGCACAGTCCAGTGTTGTCTCAGAGGCTGCCCAGGGAGTTGGAAGTGAATTGAAATGGGCCAGTGCTGGTCATTTAGGGTGTCACATTGTGTCTCAGGTGACGGTAAGCTCAATGGGGAGGTAGACCGGAGCTTCTCATCTGTAGACTGCCCTCTGGCACAAAGGAGAAAGTCATGGGGCGTGTTTGAATGAATGGATGAGATAAACACTCTGCAGAGTGGTTTAGTATAAACGAAGCCCAGAGAGGAGGGGGATTGTACTGGGACCTGGAGGTCTGAGCAGAAGTCAGCCTTTTCAGGCATGAATTTGACCACTAAAGCAAGGCATTCTAGATAGGGGGAAGTGCTAACCAACCCCAGTGCTTCGTAACAGAAAAGTTCACCATGTTCTCTGGTGCCTGAGGACTGTAATATGGTTGAGCCACTGAATCTGACAGTTCCACATTGGAGCCAAACTAAAAGGTCTCTGAATGGGGAATCAGCCCAAGAGTCTGAGGGAGTCGTGAGGGTGAGGGACAATTATGTGGGTCCCTGGGATCATGCTGGAAACTGAGTGGCAGGTACCTGCTGATCACAGACGCAGAGCTGACCTGTGTCCATCCACCCACCTCCCCACCAGCATGGTGAAGAGACCTTCAACCGGGCCAAGCTGCTCAACGTAGGCTTCCTAGAGGCACTGAAGGAGGATGCTACCTATGACTGCTTCATCTTCAGTGATGTGGACCTGGTCCCTATGGATGACCGCAATCTGTACCGTTGTGGTGACCAGCCCCGCCACTTTGCCATTGCCATGGACAAATTTGGCTTCCGGTGAGACTTAGCAAGAGTCAGACCTACCCACCCCCACTTGCGCCCATTCCCGTAGTCCCAGCTTCATGTCCTCCTAGCCTCTGGCCTCGGTTCAGATCCTTCTATGTAATGTAGCTATTCCCTGGGTCCTAGTTATGCGTTCTCCCCACTCACCATCTGTGATCCTGCATCTTGACTCCCCTGTGACCCTAACATCTGCTCTCCCATGTCATAGGCTGCCCTATGCTAGCTACTTTGGAGGTGTGTCGGGCCTGAGTAAGGCCCAGTTTCTGAGGATCAATGGCTTTCCCAACGAGTACTGGGGCTGGGGCGGTGAGGATGACGACATCTTCAACCGGTAAGTAGGGATGGGACAGAGGAGACCAGGTCAGGGAGTGAGGAGTCACAGGCTGGGCCGGGCTCCTTACCTTTCCTGGTGCCTGTTCAGTCTGCCTGTCGCCCCTCCTAGGATCTCCCTGACTGGGATGAAGATCTCACGCCCAGATGTCCGGATAGGCCGCTATCGCATGATCAAGCACGACCGGGACAAACATAACGAGCCCAACCCTCAGAGGTGACCCCAGCACCCCTGACCCCGGGGCCCCTGATCCCTTGATCCCTAGAGGTAACTTCCCAGTATCCCAAATGCCTTTGATCTCTAACCCCATAGAGGAAGCTCTGAGCGCCCTTGGCCCATGAGAAGTGCCTGCCTGATAGAGGCAACTGATCCCTAGAGATGACCCTAATGCTCCTGACCCTTGACCTCTAAAGGTGACTCCTGGCCCTCCTGGGTTGGTTCCTGGAGGTGACTAGAAGTTAAGTTCCAGCTCGGGTTGTCATTGCATAGACTGTATTTCCATTAGCACCCTCAAATAGCTCACTTAGGTACCTTGAATGACCCTGCTTATACCGGCCCTGTCAGAGCAGATGACAGATGGTGGGTGCTGGCCATAGACCCTAGGAGCCCAACAAAGGTACATAAGTCGAGAAGAGGGAGAGCTGAGATAGTGTCAACCACTCACAGCAGCCGACTCCTGCTGGGGTTGAAATACCCACATTAGATGTTCGTGACTGACAAGGAAAGGTCTGACAGGCATGTGAAATATAGGCTAAGACTCCTTGAGCTTCCAGACAATCTCTGAGTGCTGCCAGGTCTTCTAGAGTCACGTCTAGCCCCTGTCCTACTCTCCCTTATGAGGGTCACGCTAGGCAAGGAAAATAGTTAAGCCATAGGTCACGGAAGCCAGGGAAAGGTGTGAGGTGGTGGGACTCTTAAGTGGGGCTTGAAAAGGTCCTCATTCACTGAAATCTGTTTCACATTCCCTTGGGTGTATATTCACCCGCGCTGTTTGCCTGGCTGATGGAGAAGGCCGGAGTGGGTGTAGGGATATGTCTTTGTAAGAGTTGAGTGTGAGCATGTGTGGCATATACCGAAACCTTAAAGCCATTTGGTTGTTACACGGTGAAGGCGGCAGGCACAGTAGGGGCATTGGTGCTGTGTAGCTGGGTACCTGGCGAGGTTTAACTTCTTTCCCAGGGGGCTTTGAGAGTCCTAGAAAGTTCCTGAACAGGGGGAGACACCACTGAATTTTTTGGAAGGCTTATTTTTTGAGTTCAAGGGAGGTGAAGGAATGGCCTAGCTGTTGGGTAGACCTAGGGAGAATTGATCAGGCCTGAATTCATGAAAGGAATTCATAAAACTAGAGGGGACATGGCAGGGGAAGGACCATTGGGACTTCTGTATCCCCTGACTTTTTTGCTCTAAACTCAAGACTATAGGAATGGAGAGATGGATTATGGACTGACTTGGGGCTGGAATTTGGCAGAAGCATGAGACACCCCGCCCCCCGTCAAGGAGTCCAGGGAGCCAATAGAAAAGCGTGTGGTTCAAATGGAACCATGGTCAGCAGAGAAGGGATGACAGGCAGATAAATGCCAGCAGCTTTGGTCTCATTGCAGAATTATCTGGTCATCAATTAGTGATGCCTGCTTGGGTATGGCTGTGGCCAGACAACATGAAATTTCTGCACTAAGGAAGTCTGAGTGGTGATTCTGAAACTCAGGAGTGCTCCAGGATTCCTTCCCCACCCTACATGCTCAGATCATCAGCAGAGCGTGTCATTGCCACCCCCAAAGCACTTGAGTCTGTCTGCTTTACTCCTTCTCCATGTTTACTGTAGTCTGGTCGCTGTGATCCTGCCCTGATGACTGCAAAGGTTTTCCTGCCTCTTTTGCCTTCCCATAATCTATCCCACCTTTCTCCCAAAACTGGGTTAAGAATCCCTTGGTGTCCTCTTGCCACAGGATATGAAGTGCTTATTATGACTTAGAGTCCTGCCCATACACGCTCTAACCGACAAGCTAGGCCTAAGCCGTTTTCTCTTTGTCATGTGCTCTGGCCTCTGCGTAAAATGCTCTTCCCCCTCCCCTGCTTTTAGCTTTAGTGTCACATACTTCTCCCAAGAGAGTCACCTTGTACCCTTCGCCCAGTGTCTGCCTCCCTTAGTGAAGCAAACCTGCTGTGAGAGGAAGGCCCTTGCATGTCCCATCCATGCCTGTGTCCCTGGTGCTCAGAGTGCAGACTAGCCTAGAGGAGCAGGTAGAGGAGCGGGTGTGGAAGGAGCGGCTGGTGGAATGTGGAAGAGAGACAGAACAGACGACTGGTTAGGAGAGTAAAGATGACCTGTCCCACATGGGATGTGGACTGCAGCGGAGGTGCATGGGATGCCTCAGATAGTACAGTCAAGCCAGCAAGATAACTGAGCGAGGAAAGGTGCTTCCTGGGTAATCTGGAGTCCCCAGAACCATGTAAAGGGGGAAGGAAATGCCCCATAATAATAAACATTATATATACGGTCAAGGTCTGAATGGAGACCTGTGAGAATGTTGTAGTTCCGCTTTCCGGACAAAGAGAGTGAGGTCTTCATTTGGAGAGCAGATGTCGGAGCAGTGGCCTTCTGTCAAGTTGTCCCTCAAGGGAGAGAATGGCCTGAGCCGTGGCCCAGAGATTGAAGATTGAGCAGAGACTGTTAGCCTTGATTGAACTCATCTCCCTTCCTAGGTTTAGTAAGATTCAGAACACAAAGATGAGCATGAAGTGGGACGGCATTGGATCAGTGCGGTACCGCGTCTTGGAAGTGTCTCGGCAACCACTCTTCACCAACATCACAGTGGACATTGGGCGACCCATGTCATGGCTCAATCAAGGCTGACTAATGGACAAAGGCCCTCCATGCCCTTCTGATGTGGAGGGTCACCTGCCAGAGGACTGACCTACAGCCTGGCTGACAGCAGCTCTGGGGGCGTCCCCAAGACTGAGACTGAGAGCTGTTTTCTGAGGGTCTTAATAGACAGCCAGCTGGACCTCGAAGTTTCAGAACCCACTTTGAGGGGCTTCTGGACAAGCCCCTCTTCTGGCCCTCTCTGAGGTCAATCCTTCCTGCCCTACTTGCCCCACCCCCAGCCTCCTCACTGTTAGGGTTGGGCCAGCCCCTGCACTGCCTCGCGGAGTGGCCTGGGCTAGGTCACTCCACCTCTCCGTGCCTCAGTTTCCCACTCCCTTGAGTCCCCTAGGGCCTAGAAAGGTGGGAGGTTTGACTAGGGGGCAGTGTCTCTTCCTGGGGGAATTCTCAGATCTAGAGATCCCTCATGCTTCCGGGGGAGAGGAAACCTTTTTCATTGAACATTGTAGGGGGCAAGCTTTGGTAAGCCACCTACTGAGGAGTGCCCCCAGGAGGGGACCAGAAGGGGTGCTGTGTTTCCTGGGATCATGGGATTGGCCTTTGCATGGGGGACAGGTGGGGCTTGGATCAGTCAGTGGTTCTGGCCTCCCTCCCTTGGTGAGGAGGCAGAAGCCCCAGGGCCTGCTCATGTTTATATGTTGCACAGAAACTTGTGTGGGTGCTTTAGTAAAAAACGTTAATGGAGATGCTCCATGTCTGTTTGCGAATGGAATATGGTTCCCGGAAGCCAGTTTGTGTTGTGGGAGGTGACCTGTCCAGGGCCATCTTGGGACTTAATAAACGTCCAAGCCACTATTCTAGGGAGAAAGTTTATCTTGATGCTGCCTTCAGGCTTATAGGAGTAAGAAAATAACGAACCCAGCGGGACCTAATTTCTCAGTTCTATTTCCTCTGAGGTAGAAAGATGTCCAGGAGTAAGCTCAAGCGCTAGCTGACTATCATGCGGCTCTGCTACCGTGGGTAGGGCGGGGCCTCACTCGAGGGCGATCCTGGGGCTCGGTGGTTTCCCAGGTGACCGCCTCTTGGGAGGGAAGGGGCTAAGGCCCGGCTGCCAAAGCCTGGTTTTCCCCAGAGGTGATCAGGATCCCGGACCCAGGAGGGTCGGCCCGAAGTAGGCCAAGCAATTCCAGTGTGGGGACATAGGCAGAACAAGACGGGGCCTCGATGTCAGTGGGAGGGGCTCTGTGGGCGTGGCTCTGGCCCGGAGCAACCAGCGGTCTCCCAGGAAATCTAGCACTCTTGACCTGCGGTCGGTCCGTCTCATAGGTCTGACCAGGGGGCCGCGACGTACTCAGGCCATGTCCCGGGACTCCCCAGCCCTGTGGGAGCTGGTGGAGGAGCATGTTCCACTCCCGGAGCGGCCTGAAGTGAAGAGGATTCTGGGGGAGGCAGCGGTGGACCTGAGCCTGGAGTTGCGAGAGGAGGTGGGAGTCGGTGGGTGGGGGTGGGTCACATTCCAGGCCTGCCCTACAGTTCACGTGATTTCCTGCCTCCACCAGGTCCCTAGCCCTATTTGGTGACCCACTAACACCTTGTTTTCACTGGCTGCCCTTTCTCTCCCGTTTGACTCCCCCATCCCTAACAATCCCCCCAACACACACCCATCCCCTCTGCCCCAGTGGCAAGGTGCCCCAGCTCTCCTTGCAGGTGGCGATGCTAAAGGCACTGCTCCAAGAGTCTCGGTCTTCTCAAGCCTCGGGATCCCACCCCATGTTTGACTCTCCCTCCCTTCTTGCACCACCACCCCTCCTGAGGGATATCATGCGCCAAGAACTCCGACAGTTGCTTCAAGGCCTCCGCCTTAAGGCTGTCTGTGAGGGCAGGTGGGAGTCTCTGGCCCGGCCACCTTGCCCAGACATCAGATGGGCTGCCCCTGACAAAGAGCCAGTGTGGCCTTTTCCTGTAGTTTCCTGAAAGGAGGTCCCTTCATGCACACCTTTTCAGGGACCAGACAGAGGTGTGGGCCCAGTATAGTCCCAGGGTCCTTCGCTTTGCCTTGGAGGAGCCCGGGTGTGACTCAACACAACAGGAAGTATCACGGATGAGAGCCAGGGAGCCCAGGTAAAGTGATGGTAAAGAGGGAGGCTCTGCCCCTGCCAGGCAGAAGGTCCAGCCAATTGGTCCGTCAGATCTGTGGAAGAGTTCTCATTCTGGGGCTGGACACCCCCCCCCCCCCCCCCCCCCCCCCCCGCCCAGACAAGGTTTCTCTGTAGCTTTGGAGCCTGTCCTGGAACTTGCTTTGTAGACCAGGCTGGCCTCAAACTCACAGAGATCCACCTGTCTCTGCCTCCAGAGTGCTGGGACTAAAGGTGTGCGCCATCATCATCTGGCTCCAAGTTCTTGTTTAAATCCCCCTACAATCCTATAAGCTGAGCATTGTCCCCAGTTTTTAGATGAAAAAAGAAAGCTCAGGAAGATAAACAATTTCCCTGAGGTCTCATGGTGAAGGTGGCAGAACCCATGTGGAAGCCTCGGCTCTGAAACTATTGTTTGTACTCTATTATGTTGCCTGTACAAAGAAAACAAAATTATCTAGAAGTGGCATTTGTTCCCTGAAGGACTAGAATGAGCCACACGGAGGGGGTGATGTTACCTGTTAGCAGCTGTCCCAGGGACCTCAGTGTCATCAAGGACCAACTGAATGTGTCTAACATTGACCAGGTTGTCAGACACCTGAGGTGAGGCCTAGTGGCAATTGAGTGCATGTAGATTGGGGGCAAGAAGACAGGGGTGGACCTTAAGGGGTTGGGACTGCCTGGAAGAGAGTGTGCAGGTAGGTAGACTGTGTGTGTGTGTGTGTGTTTGTGTGCCAGGGCCCTAAGCACAAGAAGGCTGTGGTGTGGGGCTAATGGAAGCAGGATGAGCCAGAGGCTCAGTGCCAGGGTACAGAAGAGGATGGTGCCCACGGGGGTGCAGATAGTGAGGTGACTGGAAATGGTGGGTGCTGGAAGGCTATGGCCAGGCAGTGCCCACAGAACAATGTGACTCCTGGTAGCTCTGGAGGTTGGGACCATGTGATAGGTGCAGCTGGGAGGTCCTGCTCACTGGTTCTGGCTGTTCACACTCCTGTCTAGGAGCCTCCTGGAGGAGGAGTGTCACATGCTGCAGAAAGAGATCTCTGACCTGCAGGTGAGCGCAGCCCTGAGCCTTCCCCAGGTTCTCTGTTTAGCAGGGATCACACCTGTGTGTTTGCAGACCTATGTGTATGTCAAGGTGTGTGAGTCCTACACCTGTTTCTCATGTTTCAGAGGCCAGAGGCAGCAGTTTTAGACTAGCCCACTGGACAGCCTGGGGTCTCTTGCCTCCTCTCTCCTTTTTTTCTAATATTTATTTATTATGTATACAATATTCTGTCTGTGTGTATGCCTGAAGGCCAGAAGAGGGCACCAGACCTCATTACAGATGGTTGTGAGCCACCATGTGGTTGCTGGGAATTGAACTCAGAACCTTTGGAAGAGCAAGCAATGCTCTTAACCACTGAGCCATCTCTCCAGCCCGCCTCCTTTCTCCTTAAGGGACTGGATGTGCGGCTACCATCTTGCTAAGCGTGGCCTTCTCCACGGGCTATGCACTCATGAGGGTCAGACTGCAAGGCTGCATGGTCTTGCCCCTGAGCCCTACCTTTAGGCGGGGTCCCTGAACCAGCTTTCTCCACAGCACTGTCTGGAAACGGAGCAGATGCAGGCTTGCCAGCCCTCCAAGGCCACCCTAGAGCCCACCCTGGCAGGTAAGGATCCCAAGCAAGTCCCTAGAATACCCTGTCCCCTACCTTTCCCCATACTGTACGTTCTCTGGAAAAGCCAGGCACTGTCTCAGCTGTGCCCTTCCTCAGAGATAAAGGAACAGAAGAAGGCCATGGAACAGGAGCTACAGGTCTCTGTGGGGCCTTCCTGTGTCTCTGCCAAGCACAGGTACACCCAAACACAGGGCAGGCGGGGGCGTGTGAAGGGTCAGGTCATGGGCATCTCACAACTGCCTATCCCGTGCAGGCAGAAGCCCTTGAGGTCCATTCCAGGCTTCAGACCCTTTCCTTGTCTCCATGGCTACATGCCTACACCTCCTTCGGAGCGCTGCCCCCACCCTCAAGGTCAGGCAATCACCCACCGCTGGAGAGGGCGGCAGCTTCGGTACAGCTGTTGGGAAGAACCAGCTTCCACATCAGTGTCCAGTGCGGCATCCCAGGCTCCAACCTGAAGGGCTGGTCACAAAACAGGCTTCTGCTGTAACTTGCCCATCTGCTGTTCCCTCCAGCTGCCATAGCTCTACCAGCTTCTGCTTCGTTCTTGGATGAGCTCACTCAGTCCCCGCAGAGCTGTGTGTTAGTCTGGTCCCAGCCCCGCCCCTTCCCAGGTCACTAGTATCTAGGACCGAGTGGCAGGACACCTGTTCTAACCATCAAAGCCTTTGGCCCTTCTCCTCTACGCAGGCCTCCACAGAGGCTTGGCAAACAGAGGTCCCATCCCAGCCTGACTTTTTGTCCCCAAGGGACCCAGACAAAGCACAGCAGCAGCTCAGAGACAGGAATAGAAATTTCATTAAAATCTATGGACTTTAAAACCCTAGTGGTGCACAACGGGCAGTGGCGGGCGGCACACCGTTATTGCTACAGAGGATTAGAGGTGGCTTGGCCAGGGCTGTCACTGCAGAGAGCACAGGATGGACAAATGGACACCGCAGGGATTGGGAGAAAGAGCTCTGACTGCAGAGGGGGGACGGGCACGTGAACTGGGGCCATTTGGCACATTAAACGGGGGTAGCACATCTGGGAAGACTGGGCCTTCAACCTGGTGGAGGGTGGACAAGGGAATGTCGTGCAGGGTCCCCTTCCCCAGGGCTCCAGGCTCAAACTTCCTACTGAGAAGTCCCCTCTCTTTCCCTCCGTAAGTGCTTTGGGCAGGCTGCTGGGTCACAGCCTCGGCTGGCTGGGCCTGACAACCACGGCTGGGACAAAGGGCAGAGGCCCTGGAGCAGCCAAGTGAGGTGTAGGCAGGCCTGGAAGACAGACTGGATCCAAGGCTGGGGCCGGGGCGGGGGGTGGCAACCACAGATGATACCATGTTTACAAAAATAATTACACAAATAAACAGGGCTGGGTGATACAGTCTAAGTAACACTGTGAGCCCGTAGCCCCTTGCCTTGTTCCGAGCAAGAAGGTACAGGTTTGCCTGGGCAGAGGCTGCGGTCAGGAACACTGGTCATGAGGCTGGAGGGCAACAAGTGGGGTGTGGAGCCAGAACCTCTTATCCCCTGGTCAAGCAGCTCAGGGCGGAGTATGAGGGTATCAGAGGCCGTGTGAAGCCTGGCAGGCCGCTGGGGACCTGGCCTGAGACCTCTTCCAAAGTGCTTTGGACACCCCCACCCCCACAGCAATCCTCCCATGGCTTTCCCACCCCTGACTGCTGTCTTGGCATCCAAAGGACGTGTAAACACTGGGGACATGAGCACAAACGTCTGCACTAGCAGTGGTGGCCAAGGTGACAGCAGCTGTCTCCTGTCACACTGCCTCCCCAGTCTCTGTGGTGGGAGCAAGGGTTGGGTGGGGCCTCTCCCCTTGCCACAACTGTGCTCATATCCGGGAGTCCTGGAGGCGGCTGGAGCCATTACTGCCCACCATGGGGATCTGGGCCTTGTCCGGGTGCAGTGGCTGGACCTCAAACCCATCTTCAGGAGAGGGGGCTGTGGTGGGGGCATAGCGCCCAGTCCGATGCTCCAGGAGGGCAGGGCCCCAGTCTCTGCTTGGCTTTGTGGCATTTTTCAAACGCTGCAGGCAGGGGGCGTAGCGAAAAGAGTCAGAAGGGAAGACCCCTTAGGCTCAGAAGTGTTTCCACCTGGCCTGGCTGCCCAGCCCTCTGCACTCACCTGAAGAAGTGTGTCCCCATCTGTGCGGCAGAGCTGGAAGAGCGCGTACAGGGGGATGCAGATGACAGACGACAGGGCCATGAGGAAACCAATGGCCACAGCCCAGCCCGGGTACTGGTAGTGGTTGTAGGTGATTGGCCGGTATTGGATCACCGTGAAGATTAGAATGAACTGCAAAGTAGAGAGGTGGGGACGGTGTGAGCTGGACAGAGCCCTTCCCAGCAGTAACCCTTCCCCTCCAGTTCTGGTCAGGGTGTAGGCAACTTGTCAACACCTGAGCCAAAGACACAGGAGGAACCCACCACCCGGGAGTGGTTGAGGCATGTAGGTGCCATAAAGGGAACAGAGGCGTTTTTGCCAGAGAACAAGTAAGCTGCTGCCACCTTTGGAAAGCAGCCACGTTGTTTCTTGGCGCTGTACTGTCTGTTGAGATAAGGACAGATTCCTGGCCTTAGGCTTCAGTTCTGCTAGGCGACCTGTTATCTTGCTGGCCACCTCCTGGCATCCCTGCCTCCTCTGCCCACTCTGCAGACCTGACCTTAGCATCCCTGTCACACCCTGAGCACAGGCCACCTCTTCCAGGTAGCCTTTCTGGATTTTCTGCCCCCTAAAAGGCTTCTCCATGGCATTTCCCATCTGCGTTCCTCAGAGCTGCCCCTACTTCCTATTTCCCACAGTGCTGCGAGTGCCTAGGATGGTGTTAACTCAGAATCTAAGGTACCCTGCACTGTCTCACTTGTCTATTTGAGCTGATTTGTATCAGGAGATGCGGGGGATTGAGGAAGGGGTTGAGGAGCAGGCCAGGCCAGGTCCTATCTCCACGATGGCTGTGGTAACCGCCCCATTCAGCCTAGAGAGTGCCCAGAGGCTAAAACGCTGAGTGTCAGGTAGTAGACTGACCAGAAAGAGGTAAGACAAGAAGTGAGGCCCATGGCCGCTGCAAGCAAAGGACCTAAAAAAAAACAGCCTTGGCCAGGTGGCTCATAGGCCACACCCTAAAGGCCCTGCAGAAGGACACGCCTCCTAGCTTTTAAGCATCTTGGAATGCAAGTCCCTCTGACCTTGCCCACACTGACCCTAGAGCATCCTTCCTGGGAGCATACATAGTTTCCTGACCCAGCAGAGCCTGGTGTGTGTGTTTATTTTATTTATTTTTGAGACAGGGTCTCACTTTGTCACCCTGGCTTGCTTAAAACTCTGTGTAGACCAGCCTGGCCTTAAGTTCAGGTATCAGCCTGCCTCTGCCTCTTGCCTCCCCAGGGCTGGGGTTAAAGGTGAGCGAGCACCACCACACCTGGCTTGACCAGTCTGATGTACATGGGGACGAATTCCTTCATTGGACTCAGGGAAGGCTAAGGTTTGCCAAGAGCCTCATGGGCACATAAAGCCCCAAAGAGAACATGAATATGTCTGCACAGCCCGGATTCCTGTCCCCAAGGCACCTCCAGCCTGGCTCTCCAGGTTCTATTGACTTCACCCCATCTCTAGTCCTAGAGGCCCTTGGTAGGTGACCCCAGGTAATGGGAGGGGTGGGGCCTGGGCCAATGCCACACCCACCGAGGGAGGGCATGGTGCTAGGCAGTGCCTTTAGCGGCTCTGGCCTCTTAGCCTTGAAAGAAGACTTCCGCTCCTCCTGTTTCAGCTGGGCCTATGGCCAAAACTGTAGCCTGTGCCAAGCTCAGGAACATCCTACACCCCATGTGGTGGAGGCCTCAGTCCTCCAGGGGCCTCTTTTCAGAAACATGAGCCAGTGTGGAAGTCTGATACCTAGCTCTCCATGATTCCGAAGAATTGTGGAGGCCACAGGTACCTCTGGGCAGTGCCTTGCCACCGAGTGAGCCCTCTGACACAGTGACTGAGGGGGCACTCTGACCCTCTTATATAGTGACTACGATACTGTGAGCCCCTCCCCCTCTCACCTCAAACAAGCAGCAAAATGAGTCAAGTTTTAGCCCTCCCATAGCATGGTTTGGTCTGCATCAGGGTTCTTGTCCTCATTAAGTAAGTATGTGGCAGTGACCTATTTAATATCCCTGTGCCTCAGTTTCCATAGCCGTAGGGTGGAGACAGCAATGACAACCAAAGAGATACTGCAGGAGTTAACGTGAACAGGGCGAGGGAAGGGAGCCCAGCTACCAGTGTAGCGCTCTGATGAATGTGCTTGGAAATAGGATGCTCTCTCCAAAGCCAGGCAAATTCCCAGCCTCGGAGGCTCAGCTGACCTAACTCCTAGCCCTGCACCAACAGGTCCTGGGATGCTGCCACATTCCCATGTATCTGCCATGCATCTCCCTGCTTGGGAGCGGTCTCCATGAGGGTCTAGGATAAGAGCAGTAAGGTAGACAGAAGTCACACCAATATCGGCGACTCCTGAGGCCCCTTAGAGGCAGCTGGGCAGCAATGCCACGGAGTGAGGCTATGCCCTGAAGTACTGGCTTCAGTCAGTCAAAGGGCTCCATATTCCCTTCCTAAGCGAAGGCAGGGCCTGGCACCTCTGAGTGGGCACACGTCTGACTGTCCAGCCCTCTCATGCCCAAAGCAGAGATCTGGCTGGGTGGTTGTTTTCCTGCTCTCACTCTGCTGGTTCCCAAGAGGACACTTGGCCAAGGGGCAGCAGGAGCAGGGAGGACCCCCCGAGAACTTACAAAAATGATAGCTGGAGAGACGAAGCGCCAACAGATCTGGAAGAAGAGAGGTGGTGGAAACCCCAACATCATCTGGATGTCCTGGAAGTAATTTCGGTGTCCTGGAGAGATGGGAACAGGGGTCAGCAGCCCAGCAGGACAGAGTGGGGCCAGCCAGAGGCCATGGACAGGTGGGCACTTACCATAGATGTACATGATGGACACACACATGATGCAGGAGATGATGACCAAGGAGAAGCTGGCTGCATAATTGTCCATCAGCAGCAGCCAGTAGATGCCTGCCTGTGAGCCAGCGCACAGATGAGCCAGGGTGCCACAGAGCAAACTACCCACCCATTCTGCAAGTGCCCTGGCAAGTGCAACCCCGCTTTGCCCCCCCCCCCAGCTCCATTCTTACCTGGCTGGTAAGGGGGATGCCCAGCAAGAAGCCAGCTACTGCCACTCCCAAGGTCACATAGGTCTTTTTCTGCAGAATCCACTCATTCCCCACCTCATCCACAATGGCAGTGACTAGGGTCTCTAGGAGGCAGAACTACAGGCACGGCCATCAGAATAAGGACCTGCCCTCTGCCCCAGTTCCTCCTGCCCAAGCTTCCACGATACATGCACTTACACACGCATGCACACACACACATACATGCATGCATGCATGTGTGTCATACCTGAGTTCCCAGTCCCAGCAAGATGAGC